CAATGGAACAGAATAGAGAGCCCAGAAAAACCCATGCCTATATGGTCATTTAATCTATGACAAAGGAGGCAAAAACATACAGTGGGATAAAGACAGTCTAGTCAATAAATGGTGTTAGGAAAATTGGATAGATACATGTGAGAAAATGAAACTGGACCACCTTCTTATATACTCAAAATGGATTAAAGACGGGCCGGCCAAGTGGCACGTTGGTTAAGAACTGGCTTGGGATGCCAGAGGGCCCCAGTTCGGATCCCACATATGAAGGCCAGTGACACCGCCCTCTGCAGCTAAGGTGGTGAACAGCAGCTCGACCTGGGGCTGGGCTGCCATGGGTCGCCGGCTACGGCATAAGCTGCAGTTCCCTGCTGCAGTGGGCTGCCATGAGCTACCGTGTGTAGCCGGCAGCCAGTGTGAGCAGCCAGCAGCCGCCGTGAGTGGCCGTCCAGAAGCCGGCGACTGATCTGCATCACCCGGGAAGAGCACAATGATGGTGCCAACTTGGTCCAGTGAAGCAACATCCTCCACAACTAGACTGAAGAACAAAACGACAGCAACTTGTCTGTTCCCCTTCCCCCGATTCCCAAGTGCTGTTCCCCTCCCCCAACTCCCCAATAAAATCTTTAAAAAAAAATGGATTAAAGACTTAAATGTAAGACCCAAAACCATAAAAATCCAAAAGAAAACATAAGCAGTAAACTCTGACATTGCTCTTAGTGACATTTTCTGACCTATCTCCTCGGGCAAGGGAAACAAACGAACAAACAAAAATAAATAATTGGGACTACATCAAACTAAAAGTTTTTTCACAGCAAAGGAAACCAACAAAATGTAAAGACAGCCTACTGAATGGGAGAAGACATTTACCAATGATACATCTGATAAAGGGTTAACATCAAATATTTATAAAGAGGGCTGGCCGAGTGGCTCAGCTGGTTAAGAGCTCGCTTGGGAGTGCCAGCTCTGAGCAGCAGGGCTGCAGTTCAGATCCCACACTGAGGGCCAGTGACACTCGCCCTCTACAGCTAAGATGGTGAACAACAGCTCGACCTGGAGTTGGGCTGCTGTGAGTCGCCAGAGACGGCGTAGACTGAAGGGGGGGCTACAGTGGGCTGCTGTGAGCTACGTGAGTGGCTGGCAGCCAGCGTGATCGGCCGGCAGCCGGTGTGAGCTGCCAGGAGCCGCTGTGAGCAGCCAACCAATGACCGGCAACCGAATGCCTCACCCGGGAAGAGTGCAATGATAATACCAACATGGGCCAGTGAAGTGATGTCCTCCACAACAAGACTGAAGAACAAAAACAGCAATTTGTCTACCTGTCTGTTCCCCTTCCCCGATTCCCCAACGCTGTTCCCCTCCCCCCAATTCCCCAAAAAAATCTTTTAAAAAAATTTATAAAAAACTCATACAACTTAACACTAAAAAAAACAAACAATCCAAATAAAAACTGGGCAGAGGACCTGAATAGACATTTCTTCAAAGAGGACATACACATGGCAAACAGACATATGAAAAGATGCTCAGCATCACTAATCATCAGAGAAATGCAAATTAAAACCACCATGAATAGCACTTCACATCTGTCAGAATGGCTATCATCAATAAATCAACAAACAAGTGTTGGTGAGGATGTAGAGAAAAGGGAACCCTCATGCATTGTTGGTAGGATTACAAATTGGTGCAGCCACTACGGAAAACAGTGTTGAGGTTCCTCAAAAAATTAAAACTAGGACTACCTTATGACTCAGCAATTCCACTTCTGTGTATTTAAAGAAATCCAAAATACAAATTTGTAAAGATATATGCACCCCTATGTTTACTGCAGCACTATTCACAATAGCCAAGATATGGAAACAACCGAAATGCCCATCAAAAGACAATTGGATAAAGAAGAGGTGGTACATATATACAATGGAGTATTACTCAGCCACAACAAAAATGAAATCTTACTATTTGCGATAACATGGGTGGACCTAGAGAGTATTACGTTAAGTGAAATAAGTCAGACTGAGAAAGACAAATACCATATGATCTCACTTATATGTGGAATCTAGAGAACAGAATAATAAAAAAATAATAATAAAGCTCAAATTTCAAGTGGCCACCAGTGTGTAATCTGAGAACCAGTTTGACTCAGCCTAAGTCACCTCAGATTCATTTGTATGTGGTCTGGGTAAGTAGCTGCTGTTTAGCACATCCATCCATTCAACAAATAATTATTCAGTATGTGTTTATATGGCAAGCATTGGAAATAAAGTAATAAACAAGAATGACAAGTGCCACGGCCCTCCACGCTTCACAATCCAGCAGGAAAGACACAAGTTGTAAGTGTAATGAGGGTAGAGAGGAAGAGTGCAAAGCTGGGTCCCAGGGGACGTTTAGCAGCAGTAGCTGATTGACACAGGGCCACAGGGAGCTTCCCTGCGGAAGTGGGTAAGCTGAGACCTGCCCAGTAAGAAGGCTACCTATCCACAGCAAATGCAGAGGCCACAAGTGGGGACTCTTCCAGTATCTGGTGAAGAGCTCCGAAGTGTCCTTTCCTGAGACAACGATCTTTCAGATCATTGGTCTTGGGTCTGGGTTCTTGTTCTTGGATCTGAGTTTTCATCCTATGGGCACTTGGAGAGCTCAAGTCTTAGGTGCTGAAGAACGCAGTATTCCAGTCATTTGTGAGAGAACACCCTGTTGGCTTTGGCTTTCTTTTCCAATGAGGATGAACATGCTGTATAAGATCCACTGAAAATGTAACTGTAAACTGAGCCATGTTTTGTTCCAGTTCCTAAACTGAATTTGAGAGCAGGGCACGATGCAGATGTGCTTACTTTGTTAATGGAAATGATCCTGCATTGGCTAATACTAATCACAAACAGTATTTAAACTTAAAACTAAAGGAAATAAACTCAGTAAGACTAGTCACATTTCTAGTCCTCAGCAGCCACAAGTGGCTCATGGCTGCTCCTTTGGATAGTGAAAGTACAGGATTTTTCCATCACCGCTCAAGGTTCTGTCAGACAGTGCTAAGCTAGACCCTTTCAGTGTCTTAAACATGCAGTTGGCTACCTTTTCAAAGAGGGAGAACAAACATGCATGTACATTGTCTCCATAAGCTATCCCCCCTTCACCAGTTTGCAGCAGTGGTATTCTGTGTAAACAAGATGCATGTAAGGGATGAACAGAGTAATACAGTTCCCGTGGGCAGCTTTTCAACATAGCAAGGATAAGCAAATTAAGAAATGCGTGTCGGGCTGGCCGAGTGGCGCGTTGGTTAAGAGCTGGCTTGGGATGCCAGAGGGCCCCGGTTCGGATCCCACATATGAGGGCCAGTGACACTGCCC